ATATTCAGGGCCGCTAATACTAGATTCAGGTGGGCCTGTGGCGGATGAGATTCTATCTCCCTTCTCTGCCTTACTTTAAGTACCAGAGATATGAGACTACGGGTAGATATGATTAAGCTCCACCCTCGGAGCTGCCTTTTTCGCCTGACAGCTCGTTGGGATATCGATGGCTGGTTTATCGGGTTTGAAGTTGATTGATCAGAATTCACTTTGGCCACAGTTGATTCCCCGCAATGGGCAGAAGTATGACTATGTGAAGAATTTCATATATGGTTTTTGTATCAGAACCGGTCATCTCTAGATATGGTTCTGACCCACACTATCCCTAGTTGTATCGGTACCCCTGATGAGAAGTGACCTGCCTTTGTTTAACCCAACCCGATCGGATCCGCCGGACACACTTCGCACTCCTGGGTATCCTACACGAGTAGTTGTACACTCTCCCAAACAGCGATTGGACGGTGGCTTGTTCACAGGGCATCAGTGGGGCCTCATCGCACTTGCATCTGCTCAACGGCCCCGGGAACCTGACAGATCGAAGCACCTTGCAGATAATGTAGAGCATTTTGCTCTGCCCCATACCGGGGATGTCTTCAACTCATCCCAGGTTTTCCCAAATATATTATTGAGGCGGTTGTTGCCTGCCAGCTTGCCGTGCACATGCGACATTGTGTTTGATTTCATTAATCATGCTCGTCCACCGGACTTCAGAATCTGCTCCAGATTCTCACGACTGTTCTTGTGCGTCATCTCGAGATAGTTCAACTTCTTCTCCAGACCCTCGATGTCTGTTTTCAGCTCAGTTTTCTCGTCCGCTAAGCGCTTGTCAACGGTGTTCATCGGAACTGCCACGAACCTACAGCCAAAGAGGAACTATCAGCCTTGTTCTCTAGGGATAGCCACAGAACCTGTACTCACATTTTCCCAACGCCCTCGTAGACCTTTGTATCTTTGGATAGCGATCCGATTTCTTTCGATGTCAATTCGAGGAGGCGAATATTCTTCTGCTTTGCCGTGATCTGTGCCTTGGTGACGCCAATCTGCTGCTGCGAGCTGATCGCTCGAGCTTCAATCTCTTGCAGCAACTATAAAACCAGTATTAGGAGGCGAAACTGTGGAGACATACGCCCGTAGCTACTCGTACCTTCTGGAGAGCTTCGTTGGGGATAGACATGTCGAGAGCAGATATAGGACGTGGAGGGGTAGTTGATGAGGGGAAAGGTTCGCGTCCTTTGGATTGATTACTTGGAACGTGTTCAGTGTGGTGGCGGTGAGTAATATGAGATTTGGAGCTATGAATTTTCCTCAGGAACTTTGTGTTTGTTCGAACTATCCGCGGATCCTCGATGCAGTTAGCTGGAGTTGAACGATACCAATATACCGGAGTTGTAAGGTTGTACCCCATGAACCCGTAMTTGGCCTGAGCTCCTCTGATGGCCGGGCGGTAGGGGAAATTACCAGATACGGCTACCTAGGGCATAGGGTTTGGGCTCATGCTCTAGAGGTACAGATCTCTTAGTATCTCTCGAGGAACTTATTATTTTATTTTGCAATAGTTAGTTAAGATGGGATGTGAAGATATGCAGGTCTTGTGCCTACTCACTATCAGCTTGTGATCTTGTGGATCAATTACAGGTTGAGATTACCCATGTTGTAGTCAGGATTTATATACTTCGATGACTATAAATACTCCCCAGAGGAGTCAACGGAAAGTAGTGATTGCAGGGAAGCAAAAAGATTAAGCTTGACTTAGGCCATATTCTGTCAGAATCCTGAATCCGGGGCTGGTCATGATACAATATATTAGGTACATCAGCAGATGCCCAGACAGCCAGGAGTTAATGCCTAAAGAACCACGATGAGACAAAACAGGGTCAAATGGGTACGCTTTACATCCAAGTCTCTATGACAGTGACATCATCTCGAAATTATTTCTAGTTCATAAGAAGCACATTATATGTACCAGTGTTCTTGTCTCCTAGTTTGTCATTATTCTGCAAGGACTGAAACAGCATAGGCTGGAGAGCATGCAGTCTCCTTGAGCAACTCGTATACTTCAAAGCTATGACGATATTACCAGGGAGAATACTAAGGTCAGTAAGGCTAGTGGTCACTAGCAATTAGGTAGTGGGTGTGGCCAGAACCAACAATGACTTCTCGAAAAGAAGTTAAACCAAACGAATGTATTTCTCGAAGACTCTAAGAGCCCAAAGTAGGTTATTTATCTCCGACAAAAAAACCAGCAAGAAGAAAGGTACATGTGGGCAGGGATTCTGCGGTTGGCCGTCGGACCTGATGGCCCTTCCCATCGCCCCGTTGCTGTGGCAGGGATGCTGGTGGAGACTGTGCTGGAAGCGCAGCCCGCTGTGGACTATGGAGGCATACATCATCCACGCCTCGCTCTCCATTTCTTGACCGATCTGAGTGTTCCAAAGATAAGATTCAAGCAAAAGAAATTGTGAGTTTTGCTAATGTCCCATTGTCATCATTTTGGGTCGTCGATTCCCTGTGCGGTTTCCACCATCCGTCAAAACAATACTAATTGTTTTGGTTTACTACAGCTAGTACTCAGTTTGTTGTTAGCCGCCAAAGTCTTTCGCCCTATTTGGCACCGAATCTCCAAAACCATATTTGGAAAGCCCTTATAATCGTTGTTTTCGACGAATACTGGAACAGCTGGGTGTGATAGGGTTCCAGTGGGCGGATCGAGCCTCTGGCAGCCAGAATGAAGGCTTCATTGTGGATCACGGCCACATTCCTCGCTTCCACGGTCCTATCTATAGAGACGTTGCCATTCTCTCCCCCACAATTCGCAGAAACCAGCAAAAGAGCATACGATGTCTTACAGATCCTGAGGCGAGCGGATAATAATTGCCCGGGGGGTTACAATCCTTGCACCGACCTAGGCCATTCCGACGTTTGCTGCAGAAGCGACTCTATCTGCTCTCGAGACGCCGCCGATAATATCGCTTGCTGCCCTACTGGGGCAAAATGCACAGGAAGCCTTACGGGGACGTCAACTGGCACAGACACCAGTTTTAAATTCCCTGGAACCACAACCGCGACTCCAACTACGACTACCAACGATGCTACAATAACCGGCTCGACGTTGACGGGGGCCTACCCGTTCATCTATGTTCCCACCACATTCCCCAATGCAGGCATATGCTCGTCGTACTGGTCCGTTTGCCAAAGCGAGTATTCGCAGTGCACCGCGGCACTTGGAGGTCGCTACGGAGTCACCGTCGCAGGAGGCGGTGCGGGAGTCACGGTTGCGGGCGGTGGTGCAACGACGGCTGCGTCTGTTTGCTCGAGTCTGAGTCAAGCTGCTTGTCATGGACTCAACCTGGCGTACTGCGGCACGTATGCCACTGGAGGGAGCAGCCCGAACATTGCTGTATCGGGCCGAACCTCCAGCTTGCAGGACTTAGTCTTTGGTATGGTCGTTGGAGTGGCGGGAATGTTCATCTGAGCCTTTGAGGCGCTCAACTACGAGGTCGAACTATGAGGTCGACAGTATGAGACGCCCTCTTAATTTGATTGACAGCAGTGCCAACAGGGCGTCGCACGGATTGGCCTGTTTTCACGATTTCTTTCTCTTCTACGTTTTGGATGACCCATGAAACGATTGACTGATGATATGTATGCATGATTTTGGAATGGCGCTTTGTTTCCCAACATTCTTGTATATAGAAGACGAGGTACTTTCATCGATCAACATGACGAGCAGAACCAGATTGATCCGACAAAAGCTTCACCTCCCTGCCTTATCTCTGACGACATATTCAAAGGTATTCTGTATGCTGTTCAATGTTGATAGACCCATTCATTAGGCACGTTGTGAAAATCTCTCCTCCCTCTCAGTCATTGGTCGGTCAGAAGGAACTCGATCAAGTGCGGCCTGAACTGGTGGATACAGGGAAACTCAATGCCTTGGCTATGCGCAGGAAATGCCCAGTCTCATGCCCAAGATTTCAAACTTTCAAATTTCCAAGGCATTAGCGTCTCCGGATTGCCTGAAGATGTGTTGTTCCTACATGAGTACGGAGCACATCTGTGCATACACCGCTCTAGCGATTCGAGCCGGAGCATCCGACACGTCAGTGAGTCTTAATACTTAGCTAGCTCAAAGACCGGGGACAAAAGGACTATATCAATGAAAAAGAGGTGACGCGTTGGAAAGCCCGATGTGGACAGCCCTACATCGGCCTGATGCAATTAAAGGCTGGCCGAGATACTAAGCCGGGTAATTTCTGGGATCTTCTGTTGGTGGGTGGAGATTCTAGACGGTCAATCGCCCGTCTGACGGTCTGAGTAAGTCTCGCCAGCCGTTAAAAAGTCAGCCGATCAGAAGAGTCAGAGTGGCCACGGAGTAATGCCGTCAGGGACGGCACCCAAATGAGCGGGGGGGATTCAATGTGAGGGGCAGTGATGTGATGCCAATCACACCGACGGATGGTGCTCAGTCATTATTATAGCTGATAGGACAGAACAGGAAACTAAGGTATTATTCCCAGCCTCCTAGATTTCCAGGTAGATAGTGTCTGAGTCTGAGTTACTGCAATCTATCGTGCGTCAGCTGTGTCGTAGCTATTGGTTGTTGGTATCAGGAAATCCGGTGGTTGGGTTTGAACGAGAGGAGGCTGGGAGTTGTACTCAGTCTCGACAGTTGGACCTCCACGAGCTGCCGGATCGCTTCTCATTCTTCCATTCTTTTCTCTCATAGAAACATTTTTGTTTACTTCAATTATTATCACAAAATTTTTACATTCCGTTCGTTTTCGAAACCTCGTGGGATCTGCTTTATCGCATTCCTGCTATCGGAACTATCCGAACTATAGCCTGTCAGAAAGTGTCGCTGCCTCTGAGCTGGTCGACCGCTCAACGACTGACGGGCCCAAGCTGGGTTGGTTAGAGATCGCAGCGAACAGTCCAGTGCGGGCGACTGATCGTTACCCCTGCGCCAGCCGTTCAAGCATCCTCGAAACTGCTCCTTCGCCATGAAGACAATTCGTATAGTACGGCCAACGATCTCGATACTGGCTGTTCTGAGTCAGTTGCAACTATCAGCTGCAACACCGCTGGAGTTCGACGAGGGCAGTCTCGAGAAGCGCTGCGCAAACCCTTGCGGCTATTACAGTCAGCTATGCTGCACATCCAGCCAGACCTGCGGTACCAACAGTCAAGGACAAGCAGTTTGTTTGGACTCGTCGGGCGGCGGCAGCGGCGGAACTTGGGAATACTATACCACTACCTACGTTACCACCGAGGCGGATACTAAAACGATTACTTCTACATGGAGTAGCCTGCTCCCTACCGCGACAAGCTCAACCAGTTGCAGGACCGACCTCGGCGAAACGGCTTGCGGCAATACATGCTGTGGTGCTGCATATGTCTGCGCCAATCATCAGTGTATTGTGGGAAGTTCATCGATGTGGGTAACAGCCACTGCGACACCTCCAGTACGGGGAACGACCCAGTCGACTATGACCCAGACTGCAACTGCGACGACCACACAAGGTTTCATTGCACCTGTGGGAACAGACGGCGCAACTTTGATAGGAGTCCATGCTGCCGGAGGAGGACTGAGCGGTGGCGCTATTGCGGGTATAGTCATCGGCGTAATTGCTGGCGTCTTTATCCTGCTCCTGCTATGCGCCTGTCTGTGTTGCAAGGGAGCTCTGGACGTCCTGTTCGCCTGCCTTTGTCCTGGTAGACGGAAGAGAAAGGATACCACGTATGTCGAAGAGCGATACCATCACCATGCGCACGGAAGCAAACCCGAAGGGCGTACCTGGTTTGGCACTAGGCCATCCGCCTCAGAAGGAGGCGAAAAGAAGTCCAAATGGGGAAGTCTGGCTACCATTGGCATTATACTCGGCGCTCTTGCGCTGTGTCTAGGCTTGAAGAGGCGCAAGGATGAAGACGAGAAGAGTGATTACACTTACCCCAGCTCTTACTATTATTACTCTGACTACTACACGAGCGCAAGTATGTCTCCCTCGCTCCTCCAATTCACCGTCAGTAGCTAACTGTCTGCGTTGTAGGTAGCGAAAGCTCGGATAGGCGAACGAGAGACACAAGACGATCCAGAAATTCTCGCCCGCCGCGCTCACGACGATCATGATCTAATGACTTGCTCCCAATGATTCGACGACATCTCTGAAACAAATTCCACGTCTCCCTGTGAATGACTGAGCATTCTCAAGGAGCTTCCCGAACAACTGATAATGCATAGATCGGTGCTGGCCTTGTATGTTATGAGTATGCTTGCTCTTTTTCCATTGTGATTTGTGATTTGGGACGGACACGTGTGACGATTATCTTCATGTGATTGTGTTTTACCTTTATGACCTTAATGGACTGGACGAGAAAAATGATGTAAATATGAGCAATGAATACGAATGGTCCGAGTTATACGGCGATACCGAAGCCCGTCAATCCAACAGATCTTAATCAGTGCAGGGTTATTTGACCTGCCACGCACATAAGCTGCTATAGGTCTGTCTTGGGACAAATATATTCATATCCGGACCGCAAAGCATCGTGAGCTCGAAGATGAAGAGGGCATCTGGACGCAGGTACCCTTGTGGCCTAACACCGACGCCGGTTATGATTTCATGCATTCTGATCATCGTCGCCAAGGGGCATTTTGAATCTCTGATACCCCGACTTGGCGAGGGTGAGAGCAAGGGTCTTCATAGTCGTGCACCTGCCGGATGGACTCGTGCGCCTTTCAGTGTAACCTGCAAGTCGGTACTTTATTTAGTTAGGTTAGGTATTTGAGGAATGCAAGCCCTCAAACAGCTTCTGAATAGCTGAAGAACTGTACTTGATGGTAAATATGAAGCCAGCAGAAAGAGAGAGAGGGCTGAGAAGCGAAGGGTTCTTGGTGTTATTTTGCAGCGGAAAGCCAAGATCATAGTACTAGGATTAACTACCTTAGTGGAGGCTCCACAACACACAGGACCCGACCCTTCTTCATCGCCAAAGTCACAAACCCAACTAAACCGCCTAAGCTCAACTTGCGCGCGCTCCCCGCCCGCCTCCCGAACTTCCCTCTTCAATAACCCTCCTCTATCACTCCCGACTTCTGCTTCCTATTATATCCACAACCTCTACCAGTCAACGCTACATCTGACTCCTGTCAGCACAGATTTATCCATGAATTACATTTCCGAGTTTCCTGCTTGACAATCTGAACTAACCTATCCTCGCGACGCTTCACCGTCTCTATTTGTCGCCTAGGGTACCTACGTCCTTCGTCGGCCCGCCATGCTTCAGACACAGTCTCAGCACGTCTTTTCCCACCAGCATCAGTATCCGCAGGCTGATCCTTCTTGGCTGCAGCATCAGCAGCAGCAGCAACAGCCACAGCAACAGCACCATCCGGCCCAGCCCCATCCACACCAAGCCCAACAGCAGCATTCCTCGTTGGTGGCTCAACATGCTCAAGTTCAGGCTGCCGCCGCCGCAGCGGCTGCCGCTCAACAGCAACATTATAATCGCATCGCTATGGCTGGAAACGGCGGTGCTGGGAATGCAGCGCAAGGTGCCGGTACCGCAGCCTTGAATGGAGAAAGCGCTTTGTCCGGTGCGGTGTCGGTCATGGATGGTGGCATCAGTGATGAGAACAGAAAGGTCTTCATTTGGGTTGCAGAGCTGCTTGATCCGAATCGTCGGGAGGCGGCTCTGATGGAACTCAGCAAGAAGAGAGAGCAGGTTCCCGAGTTGGCGCTTGTCATCTGGCATTCATTTGGTATGACTTCGGACTTTTGCCCGCGATTCTGGTGGAGTGGGTGATTTGAACGCTCAATACTAACGTTCTCTCGAAGGAGTCATGACTGCTCTACTCCAGGAAATTATATCCGTTTACCCCCTGCTCAACCCTTCCCAGCTGACCGCTGCGGCGTCGAATCGAGTCTGCAATGCGCTGGCCTTGTTACAATGTGTTGCCTCCCACAACGAGACTCGGACACTTTTTCTGAATGGTATTTTCTCATCCTTGATTTTCTTACGTGTCCTGAGAGACAGCGTTGCTGACGAATACGTCGCCTTCTAGCTCATATCCCTCTTTTTCTTTACCCTTTTCTCAACACAACTTCGAAGTCTCGACCCTTTGAATACCTGCGACTTACTTCACTGGGAGTCATCGGGGCGTTGGTCAAGAATGATTCGTCCGATGTGATCAACTTCCTCCTAACGACCGAGATCATCCCTCTGTGCCTTCGCATCATGGAGACAGGCTCGGAGCTTAGCAAAACCGTCGCCATTTTCATTGTACAGAAAATTCTTCTTGATGACATCGGTCTTGCATATATTTGCGCCACATACGAACGATTTTACGCCGTGGGAACGGTTTTGAGCAATATGGTCACCCAGCTTGTGGAGCAGCAGACTGTAAGATTGCTGAAACATGTTGTCCGCTGCTTCCTTCGGTGAGTCTAGACCTCTGAATCTCGATATCCTGGCAATTGTCTGCCGATCGGATTCCATGTACTAATATCGCATTAGTCTCAGTGACAACAGCAGGGCTCGTGAAGCTCTACGCCAGTGCCTCCCCGAACCGCTTCGCGACGCCACCTTCTCCTCCGTACTCCGCGACGATGCGGCCACGAAGCGCTGCCTTGCACAGCTTCTCATCAATCTCTCTGATAATGTTTCCGACGGCGCTCCGGGAGTCACCATGTAGACGACGAAAAGTATCCTTCCTCATCTAATATGCTTGGTATATTTGCCACCTTACGACATGCATGGGACGGTTTCTAGGCGAAGACGGATCACACGGCGCAAATAGTGTTCAAAATGGCAATCTCTACACATTGAAACAAGAAAAGCAAAGGGAGGGACATGATCGACGATGAGGCCATGGTTTCGATTCAAGAAAAGCTTTTATTTCTCTTTTTCCCTTTACCCTTTTTTATCGTGATCATCTGAGTTGGTTTCATTTCGGTGACTTGGTGCTTGAGTGATCTTTTGTGTTCGAGTGTATCGATTCTCTGGTTTCCATTTCGTCCTCTTCATTGTTCTTGCCTTCTTGTACGGGTTTTGCTGATCTTTCATTGCAATGGTACAAGGCTTCTCGGTGGCGTGGATATGGTTGGGCGCTATCTTCTCTTTTGCGCATTTTCCTTCTCTTCATTCATGATTCTTTTACCAATCCGTATACCATTGAGATAGACCCTCTTTTGAGCAAGAGATACCAATATATATAAGTTTTTGTTCATTATGGATGGTGGTTGAACTGTTTCTCGCGAACTATTATTTCTCGCGAGATATGAAATTAAGTGTTGAGATCTCCAATGTTTGCCTTGGAACTCTGTGGAACAATGTTGTTCAATGCACTTTTTCTTTATGAATGCTTTTTTATTTTCATTCTGATCTACACCTTTCCATTTCTTGGGGAACTTGACCTCTCTGAGGATACAGAAAGACGATCTACCGTGGAGTGCCTTATCGGGTGTAATTAGCCTGGACCACAATCACCTGACGGCGTCCCCAAGTTCGACGCGCCTCCCTCTGAGCTCATCACTGTCTCGCGCCCTGGAAAAACTTCCGCCGTGTCTGCCCGCCGCCCTTCCAGCCAGGTCAATTACAACAGTTTACTGGGGATGGACTGAAGTCATTATTATTTACCCATCCATCAACAATTAACATTTGGCTCGGAGATTCTATTTTCTAATCTAGACAGAAGATCAGATTGTTCCTCGCATTGAACCTCGCACCTTCTTGGATTTTCGTCTGCGCTGTGGCGCCTTGAATGGTTTTGAGTCGCCGCCATGGTATCGCGAAAGCGCACCCGCTCCGAGGTGGAAGCTTCTCCGGAGCAGCCATCTGAAGAAAATGGCTTGCTGAGCCGTCTTCGGAATTGCTGGGAGTTCGCGAACCTCATGCAGTATATTGCGATTTTTGGTAAAGTCATGAAGATTGACGAAGACTTTGGAATTGATGTGAGTGTTATCTTTCCTATGCTCCTGCGCAGCTCCATATAGCGCGAGCGACAGTCTTTGTGCTATTTGTCCCCCGTCTTTCTTGCAAATGCTGATTGTTGGTCTTCTTCGCTTGCTAGGATTTGGAAACCGAATGCCTCAAGCCTGAACCATCGGAGAAGCTCATGGAGATTGGACTCTGCCTTCTCAAATGGGTCTCGTCGCATCGAGGTCTTACGTATGTGAACGGTCTCTTACCTTTCTCTTTGTCGCATAAGCTGATGTGAGGTCTGGAATCTAGGTTCGAGAACTTTGATGAATATACGCGACGCCAATACAATGCCAAAGCTCCCCATCTTCTCAACCCCTTCGGTTACGACGAGGTCCCGAACAAATTCTCGGAGTTTGACGTATTCCAAAAGCTTCGTGTTCTCCATCAACTGTCTGTTTGGACTTTTTGGAACCCCGATCGCATCCGCGAGAAGATGCCGGAGCAGAAAGAGATTGACCAAACACAATGGGTGGGTTACCAGGTTTCCCGTGATCTTCCACAGAAATGCTGATACGTTGCAGCGCATTGAAGAACTTGGCTATGATCGCGAAGGCCGCTACTATTACGTTCTAGATGACAACCGGTTGTACCGTCGGACCGATCCTGATATCCCTCCCCCGAAGCCTGCAAAGTCGAAGCCGAAGAGCCGAAGCGCAAGAGCATCGCGAGCCTCCAAGCGACGAAAAGTCTCAAGCGCGGCGCCGGTTGAAGAGTTCGATGAAGACGCTGACAATGTCGATGACAGCATTGCTAAAGATCCCTTTGAAAACATGAAGTGGGAATGCGTCGCCATCACATTAGAGGACTATAACCGCTTCTTGGACTCGATCCGTAAGACCAAAGACGCCGACGAGAAGATATTGCGGGATAGGATCGTAGAGCACGTGTTACCAGTCATCGAAAGGGAGGAAGAAGCTCTACAGCGGAAGCGAGCCAAGCGTGAGAAGGAGCTCTTGAACATGCAGCTGCTTGCTGGTGCCAAACGGTCGGGTCGACTCGCTCAGAAGGCGGAGAGGGAGCGACAAGAGCGAGAGGCGGCCGAAGCAGCTCGGAAGTACGAGGCGGATTTGGCCGCGGCGCGCAAGGAAGAGGAAAGGCTGAGGAAGATGGAGGAAGAACGACGCACTCGGATGATGACCCGTGAGC